AGGAGCAGACTAAACTCCTTTAAAACCTCCTTTGTAACATATTGTGTGGTATAACTTGCTAAAGAAACAAATGGGATTCTGGTGTTTGTTTCCAACATTAGGACTGTTTCAAGAGCTTCAGTCCGCTATATGTTTATTTCCTTTGCTTCTTTATTTCCTATATCATGATACTGTTGTCGTGACAACACTAATGCACACGCACCTTCCGAACTTCCAGTGACCGGATAGGCTGAGACGAAGGATCCCATGATTTTTGGTTAGACCAATAGCAAACAGTTCCTGGTTTGCATTGATCCTATAGTCATTCTGACTGGCTGGGGATTCAAATCAAATCAAACTTTATTCAAGTGCATTTAAACTCGCTTAACAGCGAAGAAGATAGAGAAACAGAATAATTATGCAAATAAGTTAAATATACAGATTATTTTTTTGTATTTCCATCCTCAATGTGACTTCTCTGGTCAAATAATAACAAATAACCATTTAACAGAAAGAGCACACTAGTAACATGGCACAAACACACACACACACCGAAGGCTCTCACCGAAGGCTTTAGCGATGGCAATGCTCTCCAGTAGTCCATGAAGGGGATGACAGCCAGCCCTCCTCCAAAATCCTGCCACGGGATTGGTCAGAAGGGGTTTTCATCACTCATATCTGAGATGTGATTGGACAGCAGGGTTTTTAATGGCTAATTACTGTTCCCTGATTGTCTTAGCATACTGCCCTGGGACCTTTGCTGTAATAGCTACTTGTTACTTTTCACTGAAACCTAATTGGATAACTCAATACTGTGACAACTCAACACTGGTTACAACTCAATACTGTAATATCATTGGTTCAGCTCACGCTCCACAACGGTGATAACAACTAAATTCCGTAATATAATTGGTTGAAACCCACTCTTCAGTGTCAAATCTGTATCCCTATTGGTCTGTCCCCCTGTCACTCCCCAACTCTGTATCCCTATTGGTCTGTCCCCCTGTCACTCACCTACTCTGTATCCCTATTGGTCGTCCCCCTGTCCTCCCCCACTCTCCAGTGTCACTCTGTATCCAAATTGGTCCATCCCGTCATTCCCCCACTCTGTATCCCTATTGGTCTGTCCCCCTGTCACTCACCCCACGCTGTATCCCTATTGGTCTGTCCCCCTGTCACTCACCCACTCTGTATCCCTATTGGTCTGTCCCCCCTGTCACTCACCCACTCTGTATCCCTATTGGTCTTTCCCCCTGTCACTCACATCTACGAGCTCTCCGAAGCTGATACGTAACCGTTGGGCGTGGTCTCGGAGAGGGGAGGGCTCTGAACGGCGGCAGGCCCTGGGACGTTTTCCAGTGATGGTGAAGACTGGCGAGCCAAACGCGTTCCACCCAGACGCCACCAAGGACGCCCCCACTACGACCAACGCATTACGCACTGAGGTGGGGAGAAACACTAACACACACA